ACGAGGTCAGTATAAAATTAAGAGTCCCCTCAACAATGTCGTTGTGAACATCACAAGGAGTGCCTTATCGTCACAACCTTCCACCTGGTATCTTTCACGACGATTTTGGTCTCATCTTTTTTACGCTCCAAATTCTAATATATTTCGATCTTTTTTTCGATTGTAGTCTTTTATTCAATCCATCTCTACTTTCAATCTCACATACTCCCTCCGTCCCAGAGTATTTTTCCACTTTCATTTTTACATACCATCCAATGCACTTCTTTAATCCTTTTATCTTGTAATTTGTATATTAAAAATTATAGAAATTATATATTAATAATCTATATGTTAAGACAAATCAAACAAGATCACACATGACTATATTTTGGCTTACACATTGAGAGAATTTGATGAGTCAAAGTGCTTAGATGAACAGTTCCTAAAGTCAAAAATGGACAAAACCTGGAGGACGAAGGGAGTAATATTTAATAACTATAACAACAGTGATAATTCTATTATTTGTCACTAATTTACCTCTCTTTTCAATGACGGTCAAACCGAATTTAATGGTATCTTCGAGGATGGGGTTTATCTCTTTTTTTAAATTAATAATCACAAAAGAATAAGGAAATATTCAACCACTTTTTGGGAGGGGCTTGTGGTGGCGGCCACTAGCACTACCGACCGATCTAACCGTCCTTCAATTTGATAGGGCTAAATAGCCCAACAAAAGCCAAAAGGTATGGACCTACTAAAGGCAACATGACCCGTTTTTTTCTTGTCCCATTTTACGGATGTTGCCGACCTGGCCCTTAAATTTCTCCACTCTCCACATTTGGACGGCTGGTCCATTATTTCATTTATAATTGCTCTTCTTGGTCTTGATTTGATTTACTTATATTTAAAAATTTTTGTGATCTTATTTAAATTGAATTGATTTTAATAAAATAATTTTTTTAAGAATATGCTCTTACAGGGCAACTAATCACATGTTCAATTTAATTCAAAACTTGCTCGATATTATGGGATTAAGGCTTTCGCAGTGTTTGGTTGAAAATATTTTTAATTCTTTTGTAATTGAAAGTTAGTGTAGAATTCAAAAATAAAATTTAAATATTCAAAAAATATATGGAAATTTTTACGAAACAAAACACTACAAAATTGTACTCGGTGTTATTTTATCCATTGAGTAGTACAATTAGCAAAGAAAGAAGTCAAAATTTAACTAAAAAGGAACTTTTTTAGCATAAAAAAGAACTTTATTTAGAGACAAGAGGAGTATTTTTTTGAAATGTAGTCATGTTAAAATTATAAGTTAACCCTCACATAAATAACTTGAAAACTAATTTTAGTCAGTTTTTATTACTGTAGAGAGATAACTTCAACAAGAGATAGTTTGTTTTTTTAATGCTCAAGACCTCAATATATGACACAATCAAGATAAGTGTTGTAAGATGTTAGACTAAACTCTAAAGAATCACTTATATTTATGTATCACTTAGATTCCCTCTGACCACGAATTCATTATTAAGTGATTGTGTATCTTTCTCCGTGTTTTAAGTGATATGTTATAAATTGAATATATAATCTTATTGTATGTTCATCATATATAAATACATTTATAAGTCTTTGAAAGGACTAGAAGGAGTTAGAAAAACTTAGAAGTAAATTTTTCTAACCCAAAAAACAGAGCCTTAGTGTGTTTGAGTTTACTTGAGTATACCAAAAATGGTATTGAGAGTTTAATTTTGGAATGTCAAATACAAAAATTAAACTAAAATTACCAAATAGCTTAGGTGCTCTTTATGATTTGAAAAATGAGCATCTATGCTCACTTTGGGAAATAGCTCCAATGCTCATTTTCATTCTTGTTTGTTTTTTTATTACTTTTTTCTCTATTTGTTGCTTTAATCTATAAAGGTTTTTTTATTTCTTTTTGTAATTGTTTTTTATAATGTTCTTAAAATTCAAAATTATTTTTTTGAAATAAAAATAAATGAAGTGAAAAATAATTAACATCTATTGCATCACTATGTCTTGAAATTTAAAAAAAATATTGTTTGGAATTGTTTTCGGAAAAAAGTAAAATCTTGTTTTGAAAACTTCATGAAATTAGAACAGCTATAGATTGATATTTGGTGTTTGCCCCTATGCTAAATCTCTTCACAGGTTGAAATCTTCTTGGGTTGATAAATGTAATAGGAATCACATTATTACTAATTACTTTTCTTATTACTACCATAATTGTTATTCTACAGTAAGTAATTATGATTATCTTTATATTTCCAAAAAAGGTGAAACGTTCACCCCGGGCGCTCCCACACTCTGACCCGACAGAATTGTGAGGGGGTAAATCATGACATATTTATACAAAACAATTCATCTTTATATTTCCAATATAAAGGGATGAATGTTTTGTTATTTAATAAGATCAATTACGAAGTATTATCAAATTTTATGTGTCGGAGCTAAGATCCCCGAAAAACAAGACTCCTTTTTTTACCGAGCAACCATCGCCGGTTGGGGGGTGCAACAAGAACCGGTACAGTCCGTTTTTTGGACCTAAACCAAACCGGAATGGACCGGTCTCGACCAGGTGGATTCAGGTCCGATATCCGGGTTTAGAAAATTAAGGATTTTGGGTTTCAGGTCCGATCCGGGTTTAACCTGGAAAAATACTGTCTGGATGAAAAAATGTTATAAGCCGAAATACTCTTTGGTCCTTTAGTGAAGCCCATTTCTTTTGGTAGTCAAATGCTCTAAATCCCTAATTAGTGAAATCATTCGCCTCCATTCCCTGGCCCAAAAATGTCACATTTTTTTTTCAAAATGGAGTATTTCGGTTTCACTTTTTAAGTGTTCATTTTGATTTTCCTAAGGTAGTGTATGGCAACTAACATTTCATTTCACTTCATGCATTTCAATTCTAAAATTTGAAATCTTGAATTTCAAATGACAAGGGGATGTGCATGAATTTCAAATTAAACTTTATTATGAATGTGAAGAATTTGATCCAAATCCAAATTTAAAAGAGCAATTTTTTTCATTCAACTCCCATGCACAATATACTCACAAATCGCCAATACCTTATGCATTTTAATCAAGTTTTCCTCCTAATGAAGAGCACATTTCACAGATTTCAATGAAATTCTCAAATCAATGACGTTTTTTCTATTCACATAAATGAACACAACATATTTTTAATAAATCAAGAATTGTTTTTGAGCTTAAACAACTTCAAATTAATGAAAATAACAAAGAAGCTCATGAAAACATACACAATCACTTAATAACGAATTCTAAGAAAAATGAATCATCTTATGAGGCTAAGAAGTTCAAAATTCTTAAAATCAACAAACACAAACACAACAAAGAATCACATATGAATTCGGAGTTTATTTAACTACCTTATGGAGCTAAAATAGCTTCAACATAAATCGAATTCCACACCAACCTACTTATGAAATTGAATTATGCAATTCAACCAATTCAACAACTTGCTCAATAATTGAAAAAAAAACTATTTTAAATCAATTCTCATTCATAAGGGATTTAATATAAGCATTAAAAAAATCCATAAAAGAACACTAACCATATTTAGAATTCTTCGAAGTTAACACAACAAGCAAAAAAAATGTAAAAATTGAATCAAAAACAAACTTTTACATAGAATTGGCGAAAAAAAATAAAAATTGACAAATAATGGTTACCAATTAGAGGTAGAAGATGAAGAAATTGGAACTTGAAAGAACCATCACTGGCCGGAGATAGTCGCCGCCAAACGCCACCATCATTGTCCGCCATAACAGCGGCCAAGCCGCTGCTTTATTCTCGTTCGATTCCCCTCTCTTTTGAGCTGCAATTCATCTTCAAGTTATAACAAGGAGAACCACTAGCCGTTGAATTTCTACCCATTGGAGAAATTGATTGTCGCGAACGTTGGAGGAGTTACGCTGATTTTTTCCCTTGACGAAGAAGAAAGCCGCTGCGTTTCTTTTTTTTTTTCTTTTTTTGCGTGAAGATAAAGTGGAGGGAGGAGAGGAGAGTTGGGCTTGCTTGTTATTGTTGGGTTTGGGCTTCGGCCCAAAATAAATCTCTTCTTTTCAAACTTGAACTTCGTTTTGGCTTTTTGCTATACTTTTCTCCAAAAAAATAAGATATCTGATAGATTGGGTTAGGAAAAATACAAACAAAGAAAATAATAAAATGTAAAAGAAATGATTAAAAAACTAATATTTTTCAAGAAATTTAAAAGATTGTAAAAATAAAAATAAAAATAAAACTAAGCAAAATAGCTAAAAATTAAACTCCAAAAATACGAAGTATTAAAAATGCCTAAAAAGAATAAAAAGAACTAACTCAAAACCGACTTATCAAATACCCCCACACTTAAGACTTGAACGTGCTCGTTCAAAAGACCAAATAGAAACAAATTAATTTCTATCATCATCAAGAAGAACAAAATGACATTACACCCCCACACTCAATATGCCCATAGCATTTTAAAAAAAAGTAAGCTACAAATCCTATAAAGATGGAGATCTAAAATATGGATTATTCGGGATCTACCAAATGCTCTAAAGTTGCCACAAAAAAGTTTGCTAAGGGAATCCTATGCTTCAAAACGGCTCAATGGCAACGGTAGCAAAATTTGAAAAATAATCCTAAATATAAACATGAGAATCTCCCCCAGACTTGAAGTATGCATAGTCGTCAATCCATATACTCCCTCCGTCCCACTCTCTTTGTCCACTTATCTTTTGGCACACCATCTAATGCACTTCTTTAATCCATTTTATCTTGAAATTTGTATATTAAAAAAATTATAGAAATTATATATTAATAATCTATATGTTAAGACAAATCAAACAAAATCACACATGACTATATTTAGGCTTACACATTGAGAGAATTTGATGAGTCAAAGTGCTTAGATGAACAGTTCCAAAAGTCAAATATGGACAAAGAAAGTGGGACAGAGGTAGTATATGATATGAAAATAAGCAACAATGATATACCCAAAAAAATAAGCCAAGAGAGAAGGGGATGAGGAGTAATGCAACAAAAGTAAAGGAGAAAGGATGGGAAGTCGAATGCAAATTTAAAAAAAGTATAAGAGGCACCAATTCATCACTTTCCCTTCCATATTGTGCTCGTATCCTAAAATCTGCAAAGAGAAGGCTAAGATCAAGTATTTTAGCGTTGAAGAACAAAAAAATCTGATTTCAAATATGTAGATTTTTTTGTAATTTTGCACATATAAGCTGTGAAAAGTGTAGAATTTTGATTCTGCATTAAAAAAACAACTTACAAAGTGCATATTTTTCAGTTTATTGCCCAAAAATCCAACGCCCGGGCACTTCAAGTTGCCGTTTCAAATCAGATTTTGCATCTTATGATGCTGATTTTACTCCAAACAGATTTGCTTCCACCTATGACTTAACAAATCTTGCAAAAAGCTCTCAAAGTAGATGGTTAGAAGCACAAGTAAGGTACAAATAAACAATTAAACTCATGAACATAACTTTTTTTTCAAACTTTTTTGCGTTTTTCAAAAACTAAATGAAAGAGAAAAAGGAAAAAAACTAATCCTATAATTACAACAAGTACTATTACATCAATATGGGAAAAAAAGTAAGAAAAGTAAGTTGGTTATTAAAAGAAAGAAAAAGAAAATCAAATTAACGGCCACAAGGGGAAAAAAATTAAGTACAACAACAAGAAGTTAAAGTTAGAAGTAAGCATAAGAAATTCAAAGAAAAATTAAAAAAATGCTATAAAAGTAAGTGGGTCATGTTAAAAAAAATATTCAAAAGGAAAAAAAATGCAATCAACAACTATAAGAGAAGAAGAAAAAAAGTACAACAATGACTAGAAGTAAAAAGTAAAAAGAACTTATTAAAAATTTGTTGAAGACTTGTCGTGCGGTCCAAAACAAATTAAAAATTTATAAAACTCCTTAGCTAACCTCCAGCATATAATCAAATAAAAACTATAGCTAGGGCAAGTAAGGGTCGATCCCACGAAGAAAGTTTGTATTTTTTTTTGAAATCAAATTAGCATGCAAACACGTCACTAAATAAAACAAACTAACTACTACACATGATAAGACGTATAAAACTTATAATAAAACTTATATAAACAAACAACTTATAATATAGCTTCAAACACTAAACACATACTAAAAATATACTAAAGAATAAATTATAAAGAACTTATTAAAAATAAATAAATAAAAACACTTAAAAAAAAAGTAAATGGGTTGTCTCCCATAAGCCGCCCGATTTAACGTCTTTGGTTAGACAAAACTTACTACTTGCAAACAAATATTCATTTAACCATGAAGTAGTAAGATAAGTGCCACAAGTTTCTTTAAAACATGCAAAAAGATAAAAATAAGATAAGCATAAGTACTCTGATTTCAGCTTTGGTTGACAATTTCTACACCAAGATCGTCACTGGATGCTCAATTAAGAACCTAAAATCAAATCCTAAGTGCACATTTAAACTAGAAATCAAATTTCAGGAAATTTGGTCTCTATTCACTCCCAAGCAGTGAAAACAAAAACAAAAGCAGATCGTAAAAAACATGCTGCTCCAGAATATGTTTCTATGCAAGCTTTAAACTATCAAAGTTCAAATATCAACAAAGAAGCAACTAAAGAACTTATAATCAACATTCAAATCAATAAATCATTGCAGATTTTTCAAAAGAATGAACACTTTAGATCAGATTTTTAGGAAATTCAGCCTTTTAAACTTAAAATTCAGCATGTAAACATCATGGTATGCTTGTAAATGTTGTCCCTGAACAAGATATATCAATGATAGTTCATATTTCAGTGGTGGCCTTTGTATCTCGGCTTATATGTGCAAAATTAGAAAAAAATTATCGGCTCTCTCCTCTTCTTCTTGGGCAGTGGTGGCCTTTGTATCTCGGTCAGGTGAACCATGTTCTTCTATTTCTTCCGGGAGAATACCGAATCTCCTCTTGTATTACCTCCCATGATGAATCGACACCCCAAATACCGTCGATTCTGCCTTTCATCTTCATCTAGATCTTCGCATTCTCTTCCCAAATGCCTTCATCCGTCCGCATGTCCTTCCCCATTTGTGATCGCGGCAGCAGCAGCAACTGGTCTTCTCCATATCCTATTTCCCGGCGTTTGTCGCTCCGCCCAAGGCGCTGGTCCCCTGGCTATCAACTGATCCATCTCCTTTAGCGTAACGCACTCCAACATATTGTGGGTGCTGTTACGGTGGTACTCGCAATATTTTGAAGCGCCTTGGACGCTATAGCTTTTCCGACCACGGGGAGGGGCTGGTAAGGTTTGGGCCGCGTGGACTGGCCCCTCCCAAAATCCTTCCTCTTCCTGCCATCGCCTGCTGGCTGAACACTCTTCTTCTCCTTCTGGGCAGGCGCCTCATCGTCCTCTTCTTCCAGTGCTAGGTACCTAGCCCTATCCAACATCTCGTGGTATGTAGGAAGCAGGTTCCATCGAAGCTCCTTGCGCACATCCCCTGTGGGGAGTGTCGCTTGGAGCATGGCGATCAAAGCCTGAGCTTTCGCTCCTTGGACGTGTTTAGCCTCTTTCTCCCACCAGGTGATGAAATCCTGGAGTTGCTACCCCTTTTGAATCATGACGTTGAGCAGGTGGGAGTAGGGGAACTTTTGCCTCCGGCTTGACACAAAATGTTCCAAAAACTTGTGGGCCAAGTCCTTCCACTCATCGATCGATCCCCTTGGCAGCTTGTGAAACCACTCCTTGTCCTTCCAAGGTTGCCAAGAAATAGCGGAACTAAATCTCCTCCGGGTCCGCTTACATGACCACATTCGCCTGAAAGCGCGCCACATGATCCTGGGGATCAGTCGTCCCATTATACGCCTTGATATGAGGGGTCTTAGAATTTTCGGGGAGAGGGCATGACATTACCCTCTTCAAGAAGGGGGTTACTTCATCAAAAACTGCTTGGCGATAAGGATTTCGGGCGTCTAACCGTTTTTCCAGTCGGCCGATTGTCTTCCACAGCTCGACCGTGTCTTTGTCCACGATCGCCTTTTGCCTTCCCTCCGAGTGGGCCTTGGACGTCGCTGAGGACTCCTCCCTTCGTTCCTTGAGCTTTTCCCTCACGTCCCCTTTCTGGGCTGACCGGTTATCATGCGGCCGGGCGAACGCGGAGGTCCGTGGTTTCTTCTATTTGCGGCCCCCCAGCCGATCGAAAGCGGAAGCCCGCTCGAACAAGGACGACTTTCCTTCCTCGTCCAACCTTGACGCCTTCCCATTAGGCTTATTCGCTTTCTTCTTCTAAGAGTGCCTCGTCTTTTTCTTCTTCTTTCCCTCAGGACCCGAAGGTTCGGCCTTCCCCCTTACCTGCGCCCCTGTGACGTCGTCCATCGCGATTTCCTGTTTTGGGGCCAGGGCTGCCACCACCTCCTTGAACTGATCAGACGTGATCCCGATCCGCTACATGAGAGCTTCGGCCTCCGTCACGCTGATAGAGAGGTGGCAACCCTTGGTGGCGCTAGTTTCTCCTTGAGGAGGATTTCCGGTGGGCTAATTAGCGTTATTGCGGGTTTGCACCATTGTTCTTCGAAAGGTTTCTTCTTGAGCGAATTTCTTGAGCTCTCAACAAGAGCACCAATTTGATGGACAAGAATTTCACCAAATAATCCGACTTGCCGGACGGATCGTAAATACAATTTAGAAACGAGAACTCGAGAATTATGAAATTACACCCTAGGTTTTGCTTGAGATTCTCCGTTCGGATCCTCTCTATTTATACATATCCCTTTACATAATTAAGGTAACTATTGGTTATGGAAACTAATTCCCGTGATTTGCGCGATCCTATACTTCCAGCTCTCTTCCCGCAACCTAGCTGCGCCCTCCTTCGCAGCAGATGGACTCCCCAAGGCTCTTCGGTCTGGTCAGGCCCAAGGCTTTGGGTCGGCCCGAGGCCAACTCCAAACACCCGCGGGTACCCGAACGCGCTTGGACACATAGTTTGGGCTGCACGGCAGGTAACGACCCATAAAAGTGATACGAACTTGCCTGATCGCAGTACTTTTTTTTGCTGATGCCGATAAGCTGATTGATCGGATTTGGGTTCGCTGACTCTGATCACAGTTCACTTAATGCACTCTCTGTTTTCCAGTGCGTTACAGAACAGAGGAGGATGAATGCCTATTGAATCGGAAGAGAGAGAGAGAGGGAGATTTGGAATTTTGAGAAAGTTAAATTATTGTTAGTATTTAGTCGTCGTAGTCAGCAGTGGAGTCGCTCGCTGTTTTTTTGCTCTATTGCATTCTTCTTTTTGTTGGCCATTGCTGGAGAGGCGCGTGAAGCGTGATTGGTTGGGAATGGGCCCCACCAATAACCCACAAGCTTATTCTAATGAAAAGAAGGGATGCTCGTATGTCTAATTCAACTGGTCCAAGAAAAAGATGTCTAATCCATTGATCTTAGGGTTGAATCTCGGTACCGGTAGTGAATGAGTATGAGTGAAAATTCTCCCTGTAAAGTATGGAATTGTAGTCCATTAAGCTATCTAGCTATCTTATACGTCACATAGACTCCCCCCCCCCCCCGAGCTATGAGTATGAGTCCCCACGTTGTTAGATCAACCACATGTACAAGTATGAGTCAAGTACAAGAAACAAGTTAATCAGACAATGAATATTTTAGTAAATTAAATAATAATAATGATAATAATTAAGCATGCAGTAATAATGATAATAATTAAGCATGCAGTAGGAGTTTTTAATTGCATAATCAAATTCATATGTAGTACGATGAGTTAATTAGTTACACAAGAATTTCTGGTACATTGCATCCCATAACCCAGGATTCCTAGATTGGGTTTAATTTGTTTTAGTTTTATTATCATAATTCATTATTATGTCCCCATTTCAAATTTTGAGACGCAGAAAGGCCAACCAACCTAGAGGCGGTTGGGGTTGATTTGGTGTAAAGGACGACAAGATTTTTAAAGGATTCGAAATAGAAGAGTTGACGATTGCCATGGAAAGCGGCAGAAACTCCTATTGTGAATGCCAACTCCAAGATTTGCATTTTGATCTGCTCAATCTTGTCAATTGTCCTATCTAACACGTATGTCTTGTAAATTAAAAGTAATTTCGGGCCAGATGAGTGTTATTTGTTCTGCGGAAAATGCTTCCTCCCCGTGATTTTGTCAATTAGGTCATCATTTCTCTACCTCAATATGTGCCACTGGGTGTGATTCCCTCACCAGCGACCATGTGTTCAGAGTCAGAGTTCTACTAAATCAAAAAATCAAATAACACTTATCTGGCCGAAACTACTTTTACAAGACATATGAGTTTAGATATGACAATTGACGAGATTGCGCTGATCAAAATGCGAACCTTGGAGTTGGCATTCACAATAGGAGTTTCCGTCGCTTTCCATGGCAGCCGTCACCTCTTCTATTTCAAATCCTTTAAAGATCTTGTCGCCCTTTACACGAAATCAACCCCGACCGCCTCTAGGTTGGTTGGCCTTTTTGCGTCTCAAATTCTGAAATGGGGACACAATAATTAATTATAATAATAAAACTAAAACAAATTAAACCAATCCAGAAATCCTGGGTTATGTGATGCAATGAACCAGAAATTCTTGTGTAACTAATTAACTCATCGCATTACATATAAATCTGATTATGCAATTAAAAACTCCTACTGCATGCTTAATTATTATTATTATTATTTAATTTACTGAAATATTCATTGTCTGATTAACTTGTTTCTTGTACTTGACTCATACTTGTACATGTGATTGATCCAATAGCGTGGGGACTTATACTCATAGCTGGGGAAGTCTATGTGACGTATAAGATAGCTTAAATGGACTACAAATTCATATTTAAGTGTCCATTTATCAAGGCCTAGTCGTTCGCGCCACTGTAAAGTGTAAATTCTCCGGATCGGGTCCGCAATAAATCAGGGACAAAATTAAACCCATGAAAAACGTCAATTTCAACGAAAGTAAGTGTTGCGATATTGAGACAACTATATTATTCAAGAGATAATAGAGTACATGGTAGAATGTATAGAAGGGGAATACAACCCCAACTAGAACTAGGAAACAAGAATAGTAGCTGACTGGAACATAAAGACTGTCATAACTAATACTACAATCATAGTTGTCATGGCGCATGGCGACATTCATGGCGATGGGCCAATATCACATGGCGATGGCGATGGCGCAAATATGGCGTCGCCACAGGACACTAGTTACACAACATAATTAACTAAGATTTACATAGGTATAAGACATGAATGCAATAAAAAACAGTAGAGTACTTGATCTAAATAGTAATGTTAGAAATAAAAACACAAATAAGAAGTTATTCCAAATCCAAAACGATCTAAGGTGCTAGTAGTAAAACAACTTGAGCAAACTCAGAAGTAATTCAAACTTAAAATTTAGTCTCAAAATTTAAGATATGAATATATAATGGTAATATCTCATCTTCTTCAACTTCTTGAACCATTAGATTACTAGTTGATGCTCGATCCCGCCTCTTTCAAAACCAAGTCTCGGAGACTTGTCTTCAACCCTTCCAGAACAGTAGGACATTCTACTGTGTTACGATGCCCTCTGATCAGATGTTGTTTGAATCTTCTAATCCCACCATTACTTATACGACCACAAAAATTGCATACCAAATCATTACTCGAGTTTGGTTTGAGCTTCGTGCAGTGTTCCCAAGCCAGAGAGACAAACATTCTTCAAGAAGTACTATGCTAGAAATTAAGGCAAAAAAAAAATTTATGGCAGAAAAGAATTGTCAGGAAAAAATTTATGACAAAAAAAGTTATGGCAAAAAAATTACATCAAAATAAAATTTATGGCAGAAAAATCAAGCAAAAATATATTAAAGTGAATCACCATTGAAAACATTGGCAGTATAATCAACTATAATACACAGTACTACGCATGACTTAAAACAGAAAAAGGAAGAAAAGCTTTCAAAAAAAAGAAAAAAATGAAGTATACTGATGGGTTAAAAAGAAAAGAAAAAGGAAGTACTAGAGTCAATTACCGATGTTTCCCCTGTGCCGTGAATCGGCTTTGGTGAGTTGCAGTCCCAGTCGCGACCAGATACGACGAAGAATAAGACAAGACGAAGAAGAAGACGATTAAGGCCTGTCGATTGTCGATTGGGAATCGATTGGGAAGATTGAGCGGCTGGAGACTATTAATTAAAGGTTTAATTTCTTTAATGGGCCTAATTTATTGGATTTGGGTCGCGGATAAAATAAAAAATGGCGCACGAATGGCGATGGCGTGGCGATGGCGCAGATTTGGCGTTGCCAGGAGTCAATCGACCGCCACAGCCCAGTTTGTGGCGTTTCCTATGCAGATCGCCAAAGGCGCATCTATGGCGCGCGCCATTTGCGCCATTGATAACACTGACTACAATAATTAGGATTAATATTATTGTCTAACATCCCCCTCAAGCTGAACTCTGGCTGAAGCAAGAAGAAGCTTGGACACTAGCTGGAAACTGGAAAGTTTGAGAAGAGAGAAGTCTAACGTCCGCCAGTGGATGTTGACATCGTTAGAGAAGAGAGAAGTCTAACGTGCGCCAGTGGCTGCTGACTTTGTTGGAGAAGAGAGACGCCTGACATGCGCTGGTGGCTGCTGACATTGTTGGAGAAGAGAGAAAGGACTGACGTGCACTTGTAGCTGCTGACGTCGAAGAAGAACAGAGAAGGCTATTGGAGGTGCATGTTTGATTGAAGATTCTTGACATTCTTTGTCTTTTTCTTGGATCCTGACAATGCCCTGTTTCTTTCTTGAAGGGTGAGTTGTAGAGGTATTCTTTCCTCTTTCACTACTTCCCCTTTTGACTTTGCTTTTGTGTTGATTTTCTTGGGATTTTTTTGTTAACAAAACAGAAAGAGAAGGGAGATGAATGGTTAGAATGAGTGATTTGAGAGATAAAAAGGTAGATTAAGAATTGGTGATGGAAAAAAAGATCTAGGTCTGAGATTTTGTTATAGTGAATTGGAGAGAAACAACTATCATTATTTTTCTTGATTTTGAAAAGATACGAAGATGAGTTGAGAGAGTTTTTGAGGAGTTGCCGATCCAGAAAATTGAAGACATCAGCTCGAGGGTAAATGAGATTCGGGCTTATACGGTTGAGCGGTTGTGGATTTTGAGGGCATGTTTCCCTTCGGCGGTTGTTTTAGAAGAACCGGGGTGACGACAAGAGTGAAGCTCCTCCTTTGACGGCTTTTTTTGTGAGTTTAACACGGGAATTTTTTCTTTTTTTCTTTGAATGGAGAAGTTAATTTGAAGATAAAAGAAGGAAAAGAAAATAGAGGTGAATAAGCTGGAGCTGTCGTCACTGGAATTGGCAGCGGTGGAAGCAAAGAACTTTTTTAGGTCACCAAGAGCGGTGACTCCGATACCATGTTGAGATATTGAGATAAATGTATTATTCAAGAGATAATGGAGTACATGGTAGAATATATAGAAGGGGAATACAACCCCCACTAGGATTAGGAAAGAAGAATAGTAGCTGACTAAAACATAAAGACTGTCATAACAAATACTTGGTACTACAATAATTAGGATTAATATTATTGTCTAACAATAAGCATTAAAATTTTAAAACTGAAATCTTTCGAAATTAATGCAAAATTGATTGATACACAACTCGACTGAAGTTATTTTTCAAAGATAAAATCATATATGGGCCCTAGGAAGTCCATATAATAAACATTGATTTCACAGCTAAAAATTGAATTAATCTGTATTACGGTAAAGATTTTTTTTCTGTTTTATGAATTTGTATGTATGAGAAGATTAATGATGCACCACAGCATCGTCTACTCTAGAATTGCTCAAATTAGGGAGTATTTGATAAAATAAAAATTAAAAAGTAAAATATACTTTGAGAAAATATTGAATATTTGAAAAATAAGTAAAAAAATTTAAAAAATAAGAGATGACTCGACAATTTTATTTAATCAAATTATAATGAGGGTCCGTTTGGTACACGAAATTGAATTGAGAGTTGAAATTCTATGGAATTGAATTTTTCAATTCCAATTCATTTTTTGGCACTACAAATTCCAAATCCACATAATTTTGTGCTACCAAACAACAGAATTAGAATTGCTCTCCCTAATTCCAATTTCATAGTTTGAATTCTGAGTACCAAACAGAGCCTGAAAATAATTTTTCTGTGAGTTTTCATCTATTTTAGAAAATCAAATTGAATAAGTTTATTCATTATATTATGAGCATGAAAATGAGCATTTTTTAAGTGTTAATGACATATGGTGAGTCAATATTCTAGCTTTTTAGTGATACTCCAGATATTGTAAGAAATGTAATTAATTTGTTAAGAATTTCGCAAATTAAAAAAAATAAAAAATACTCCCTCCTTTATAAAAAAGCCTAAAGCAGATAAATTAAAAAGAAGAACAAAAACAAAATCGATGAGGAATTTAAGATCAAATTGAAGATCAAAAGAACAGACGGTGAACAAATGAAAAAAAAGCAACGAACACCTTATCCGCAATCAATGAAGAACTGACCATTTCCTCTTCTGAAAATCAGGAGTTTCACCAATCACAATTCAAGTAAGCATCCCCAATATAAGTCAGCACAAAAAGTAATGACATTTGAAAAGGAGCAAATAAAAACGATCGACGCCGATCTTCGTCACAGATCGGCGAAGGAAATCAATCAATCAAGCAATCAGTGATTCAATCAATCAATCGAAACCTCCACCATGATTCAACGAAGCAGATAACAGAAATACATAAAAGGAGATCAATCGAAGACGAAGAAGAAGAAAGCGGAAGGTATGAAGTGATACGAACTTGCCTGATCGGAGTGCTTTTTGTTTCGCCGATGCCGATCAGCTGATTGATCGGATTAGGGTTCGTCGGCTCTGATCGCAGGTGCTTTACGGAGTCTCTGTTTTCCAGTGCGTTAGGAGGAGGAGGATGAATGCATATTGAATCGAAAGAGAGAGAGATAAGCCCAAATACTCTTTGGTTCATTAGTGAAGCCCAATTCTTTTGCTAGTCAAATGCTCTAATTCCCTAATCACTGAACTCATTCATCTCCATTCCCTGGCCCAAAAATGTACGATTTTTTTCATAATGGATTTAGATGTAAGTCTTTCTTCTTCGTTTTGTTAAATTTTTACATTCTTTAAAATCAAGGATTTTAAAATTTCAAAACGGAGTATTTTGATTTCACTTTTTAAGTGTTGATTTTGATTTTCATAATTGTATTCCTTCATTTCAAGTTTGAATGAACAATTCGAATATCATGTTTTTAATTGAATGACGATGGCTTTATCTATTTACTGTATACTAAGTAATTTACAATGGAGTGTATACTTTGATGCTTGTTTTAGTTTTTTGAGGAAGATGCTGGCTTTAGAATTGATTTGGGAGAAGTTCAAAAAAAAACAAGAAATCCAATCTAAAGTAGGGTAAACCCAGAGCTAACCAGAAAACACAGCTCCGGGCCGGTCCGGACCGATAACAAACAAGTCCGGTCCGGTCTGGTTTTGGACCGGTGCACACCTCTAATTGCCGGTGCGTCTCTTCTACCTTGCACACCTCGAATGCCCTTGTATTCGTATTTGCAGTCATCTAACATTCGAATCAAAATATATTTTTATATTTGAAATATGGAGTATTCAAACTCGAATCTTCGTATTTGAATACGTATCACAGATCGGATTAAAATTATTTCGCTTAATTTACAAGCGTGAGTAGCATGAAAATAAGTATGAATTTAAAAAAAAACACACAAGAATGTAGAGAGAGTCTATTTATTTAATTATTTGTACATTTATTTATTCAAATATCCGAATATCATTCAAATCGAATGCCCTTGTATTCGTATCTATATTTATTTAACATTCGAATCAAAATATACGGAGTATTTTTATATTTGAAATACGGAGCATTCAAACTCGAATCTTCATATTTGAATACATATCACAAATCGGATTAAAATTATTTCGCTTAATTTACAAGTCTGAGTAGCACGAAAGAATTAAATAAAATAGTATTTGAGGGGCGTTGGAAAAATAATTTTAATTGGATAGGTGAAAATATTTATTTTAAAAAAATTAAAATATTTAGGCAGAAGCTGCAGATGTCACCTTCTTCCCTAAGCAGCCTTATTTATTTTACACAGTCAAAGGTATTGAATTTTCGTCTTCATCATACACTTTTTCATCACTTGTGAGATTTGAGCTCTTCAACTCTCTTCTCAGTGTCCTTCAATGCTTTCCCATATATGCTGATCAACTGAAATGACATTATGGGTGCACCGTGTCACGACGCATAAATCTATAGTCACACAAACTTTGACACTAAAGTTTGACACCATTTGTTTCAAAGATATGCACAGATAATGATTGTCTGAACAGCCAAAACTGACAAAGTTTGGTGTCAAAACTTTGGTGTCCTCGTGAGAATGCAATTATGCATTTAGGTTACACCTATGATGTTTGACTTTGTAGAATGGAATTTTGACCATGAACTAGTGGTGGTCTTGAGGGCGTCGGATAGGTCCAAACGCACGGGTCCCCAAGATTTTGGAGCCCAAGAGAAGGTAAAACTCGCTACGGATTGTAGTTATTTTATTGATGCATGGTACATATCGGATATTCAGTTAACATTCCAAACTCATTTCAATATGTGTTGCTTGCGCTCTATGTTTTTTGTAAAAAATGTATATATTTTTTCTTTAAATTTTCAAATTTTCTTTGAATTTGCAACTGTTTCCTTCATAGCAAAAATGGATGTCTTAATTCCAAAGATTGATATTGTAAGGTTAACATCATATCAAATTACTATGAGTGTGCTAAAAAAAACTTTTTTAAAAAAAATGGAGATAAAGGGAGCACTACATTAAAGCCCTAACTTAAGTTAATTTTTGCATAGGGATTGCAAACATTTTGGACCGACCCTGCCCTGAGCTTTGATGTGGGCCCCACATGAAAGAAACGCCAAAATACGTGGGCACGAGAGAACCCCAATTATTAACACTAAACAAGTTTTAACATGATAAAAGAGTTGGTCCTTAGCTGAGATTATTATTAGAAAAGAATATGTACCTTGTCAACTTCTTCAGGAGTTATTATAAATGGAGGAGACATCATTATGAGGTCACCGGCTACACGGACGAGCATCCCATGCTTCTCACACTGAGCTCCGAAATAAGCGCCAACGCCTAAGAGGACATTTGGAAAGCCAATATTACAAACAATAACAACAACCCAGTACTAGGGAAAAAGACTAAAGTAGGAGTAAAACATAGAAAATATACCAAAATAAGAGTTTCATTTTTTTATTCCTAATATAGTAGTTAAAATGCATATACAATGTTAGTCATGCCAATATATAGTACAAAAAGTGTAACGAAATGTAGATATATACTGCCATATTATCACAATACAAACTCTTATTTTGGGGATTTAAGCATGAACTCCTGTTTTGGAACTTACTCTATGTTTTACTCCTATTTAGAGTGATTTCTTATGTACTACTTATCCCTATAAAAACAGAGAGGTTGTTTCCGTTAGACCTTATATGCATTGCTGCATTTATTACTCCGCAAAACATCTAAGAGAGTATGAACCAGAGGAAGTTTAAAGTGCTTTTTTTATTTAGTCTATTATGCTCATGAAACTAAAACCTCGTTAATGATGACTCTTTTAGCTTCGTTAGCAATGGATGAAAACAGAAAGGGGCAGGAAAGTAATTACCCCATTCAGGAGGGAAAGGTTCATTGGGAGACTTGTTGTCTGTAAACTCTGTCCCAAGGATCAAGCCAAGTCCCCGAATCTACACATTTAGAAGAGTGTGGCAAATAGAATGATAATTATTAATGATCTAGTCAATGTACTATGGAGTACACACACACATATATATCTATGTATGTATATATGAATATATATATATGTGTGTGTGTGTGTGTGTATGTCATGGAAAGCATCATAAGGCCACAATGTGAAATGTAATGTACCTCTCCTATGATAGGACTGTCGGAAAAGGCTTTTATACCTTCTTGGAATTTCGGAGCTATTCTGTTAACCTGATCAACAATATTCCTCTCTCTGGAAAAAAACATTTAGCAATGTCACCTGCTAACTTAATACCAATTCAAATCGTATTTCATTACTCTGTCCGTATTATTTCAAGTGTTTCTTATTGTGTATGCAATTTGCACACACACCAAGCAATAAAATTCTCCAAAATCAAGATAAAAGTAGTGTAACAAGAAAGACTAGTATACCCATAATAATGTTTTGAAGTACCGTTAGCATTTATGGATGTATAAACGTAATGGTCGAAAAATGATCCATTAACACTTTCTTGGTATTCTAAAGCAACAGCTAAAAGAGAAGAGTAAGAGTAGGAAATAAGCACACTTGTAGATCTTTAGTGCCTCCAATGCGACAGCACATGCCACCGGGTGCCCAGAATACGTAAAACCATGGGAAAAAGAACCTGGCAAAACATCATTATTTTTGTAGGGAATCGCAGCAATTATATACTTTGGCAAAACATCATTATTTCCGAAAAAAGGACTTCTATTTGAAAACTTATTTTTGTCACAACAAGAAATTCCCTCCGCCTCAATTTAAATTGCATGTTTACAATTCACAGAGCCAAACTTTAACCACGTTCTTAGATATGTAAAAGAACCTCTTGTTTCGTAGATCATTTGATATAGTTTTTTAATATGTAAATTTTATTTTTTAATTCCACACCAATTTTCAAATAAATTGTGTTAAAAATAATTTTAGTCAAACCTCGTAAACAACAACATGCGATTTAAATTGGGACGAAGGAAGTGCCTTTTTTGAGTAGACAAAAAAAGACCTATTCGAACCAAAAAATCTAATCTGTGTCATATTTAATCGTATTTTAAACAAGTGTCCCAAACAACTAAAACATTTTGAGTGTGTTAAATTTAGCTAAGCAAACAAATTAATCTAAAGAATAGTTCTCTTTAATGATTTCCATCAAAATTTAAAATATGTACCTTTGCAAAAAGAGACTCTTTTATGGGATGTTAGAAGTATTATAGAGGAGGAATTTTAAATACTCTGAAATCGACATAAGGATAAGATACCTAATTTACTGCTTTGCGAATGGATTACGTCACTGATTTCAGGGCTCACTAGGACAGCCCCAAGTGGCATATAAGCAGAAGAGACAGCCTGGAAATTTAGTGGAAAGTGTTTGTTGAAGCATACGTAGTAAGAATTCTAATACTGTAATTGATTGATGATTTGATATACCTTAGCTATGGAAACAAGATCGGGTTTAATGTTATATCTGTCACACCCAAACATTGTCCCCAGCCTACCAAATGCACATATCACCTCGTCCGCAATGAAAAGAATGTCATACTTTTTAACTACAGCTTGAATCTGTGAGCAAGGATGATGGGTGCATGAATTTTAGTCGAAGCATGCGGCAGATGATATGAAAAGAATGGGAAAGGGATACAAGGAACCAACTCAACCAAAAGCAGCTCAAGCTTGTGGTTGTGATCCAGGAAAAGTTTTTATACTCTAACACCCCCCCCCCC